TTGGCATAAAACTTTCAACGTATACTGGCGTGTGCAGGTGGCCTCTGGTCAATTTTATATAAACAATTCCTGCTTTTTGAAATCCGCGAGACAACGAGATAAAATCTCGTCATCTGTTCGGAGCGTTCAGAACTGGTGTAGCCTACTTTTTATAAAAGGTTGGGAGTGTTATTAGTGTGTGGGAGTCAATTTGATTGTTTTATTTTTTTTTAAAATGATGTGGTATTTTTTCCGTGAAGTATCTTGACACTCTCATCTGAAAGGTTTCAGTCATTAATGACTGACGCATCTTATAAGAAAGACCATACCAAGTATAGTATAAGTAGAGAATGCCTTTTCTGGTCGCCTTAAGTTTTTAAGCGCTGGTGTGGTTTGCATAATAGAAGCTTTGCATTGTTACTAGGCTCCTAAGTTCCAATTTGCCATCTTTTTAAAACTGATATTGAGTTCCATTCAATAGCTGGAGAACGTCTCCTCTAACTGGCTTCAGATCTTCATTTATAACGCCAATGCATTTTATGATACTTTCAAAGTATAGGTTATTTAGGTGAAATTTGCCAATATACTAACAGTTCAAAACTTGAAAACTTGGAATGACTGGATTCTTCAGTGCAATAACCTAGAAAGAGAAAGAGAAAGAGAGAGAGAGACATAGCTACTTCGTCTCATCCCAAAATCGCATGACTATACCGATGACTACTCTATCATGTACTTATTCTAGAGAGGAGATGCCAGCTGCTTTCTGGAATATTAATCACCAGCTTACAGCTGTATCAACCTGAGGAAAACGATGACAGGTTATATTTGATTTAGAGAAAATACAGCATGTTAATGCTGGAGCTATGATAATGAATGGAAGTACATGTATGTTGAAGTGACCAAATGAAATCTTTGGTCCATAGCTGGTTATTACTTCATCCTGTTCCCTCTTTGCATGTTCATAAAAATTATATTTTGTATTTATATATAGGTGTGTCAGTTATTTCTGGATGTGGGCAAGACTGAAAATGCCTCAATTCCGTATATATATATATATATATATATATATATAATATATATATATATATATATATATATATTATATATATATATATATATATATATATATTATATATATATATATTACCAACAACACATCTGTATCTAAATCTGCCTCTTAGTTTTGTGAATTATTGCATTTTCAATGTTGAAAGACATATATTCATTACCGGAATATGTTAGATTAAGTTTTATGTAATAAGAAAACAGCTTCAAGGCTACAGAGATTTGTGTCCACTTGACGGATAATGTTAGGGAAGACTTTTAAAGGAGCTGAGGAAGGCAGTAGTAGCTCTTAGCTGGTAAAATAATGATGTATATCTTAACCTACCAACCACTGTACCATTATTGTACAGAGATAATATACGATGAGAGGGGGAAAGGATGAAGTGATGTACAGGATAAAGTGATGTACAGGATAAAGTGATGTACAGGATAAAGTGATGTACGGGATAAAGTGATGTACAGGATGAAGTGATGTACAAGATAAAGTGATGTACAGGATGAAGTGATGTACAAGATAAAGTGATGTACAAGTTCCCCGAGGAATGGTTGAGACAACGGTGTGGTCCCTGCTCCTTGCCCTCGACTAACGGCTCACCCACACCTGGCAGCAGCAGCAGCAGCAACAGGAGGCTTCCTCGGTAGGGTTCCTCGACCTCAAAACCTTCCCACCCACCCACCCACATCCCTCCCTCCCTCCTCACACATACAAATAGGCTTGTTTTATTATATTTAAAAGCATTCCACTTCTAACATTATTCAATGTACATTATAATTAAGAACATGATACTGTCGTGACCACTTCACTTTATTATATAAATTATAATCACAAAGCAAGTAAAACTATCCGAAGTCTACGTTTCACATTTCACAATTCATGTCTATAATTCGTTCCGTGTCATCAGCCGGAATTGTCAGCAAATTTAGACGAAAAGATAAATATCCCACCATTTATGCCAAAAGAGATCTGACTTATTAGTCACGTAAACATCCTGCGGGGAAAGTGGCACCCTTTACCCGTACCCCTTGAAACAAACCATTCAAACCACCACCGTTTGTAAGCTGACCCAGCGACTGGTTGAACTTACAAACAGGTAATGACACGTATAAAAAACATGAGAATACAGGAGTAGTGCTGCTATAATAGGTGCGCTGACCCATGCTAGGCAAGTCTTACTCACATCCACCCATTCTCATACATTTGTCTTAAATTATTTTTAAATCTCTCCGGAAAGCTCGCTTCAATGACACTACCTGCATGTTGTTCCACCCATCTATAATTCTACTGCCAGGCTGGCACGTTCCTTTATATTTACACTAACACGTGATTACACACGAGACACCATCACATTCATAAGTGACGCAAGGTGCGGTCTTATGGTTTGCAATGAACTTCATTCTCTTGAGATAGCGTCAAGTAGATTTGTAGGTGTGAAAGGCTGATCCCACTCACTGTATTAACCTTGTAAATAATATAAACAAGTAACACCTATAAGTAAATACTAATGTGCGCAGACTATAAAACTGGGTACAAGACAAGTACAAGACAAGCTGCAACAGAAGGAAAAAGATGAAGGTTAACAGGAAGCATAACATGCACAGTGTGAGAGTCTCTCTGCACTTAACATTAACACCACCGGACAAGTTACAAACCCCCTCACTGCTTGGTGTAGTAGCTGCCCTCCGTCACTATTCTCCACCTCTAACCCCCCACAACATGTATCCAATACTCAGTCATGAGCCACAAAATTCGAAGCCTGCAAACATAATAAATAACTATACCATCTGTACAGAATCCTCAGCTAGGGCCCAGGAGTTATGAATCGACCCTGCAAAGACAACTAGGGGGAATGGATAAGCTCCTCAAGTGGTGTATACATTGGACTGCAGGCACCAATAGTCTAATCGATCAAGCCAGCAACTAGGAGGCATGGCGTGGGCCTGGGCCGCGGGGGCGGTAACCCCCGAAGCGACTACATTATTATTATTATAATTATAATCAAGGGGGAAGCGCTAAACCCGGAGGATTATACAGCGCCTGGGGGGGGGGGGGAATGTGGAAGGCATTCAGGCTTAATTCGGGGAACTGGAGCACAGATCCAATTCCCTAAATAAAGAGCCCCTCACCAACATCAAGGAACCTTCCTTGAGGGGCGAAACGACTACAGGTAACCATATGTAAGGAAACCTCAGCACTCTCCACACGTACCTGGGGTTTACCTGGAGAGGGTTTCGGGGGTCAACGCCCCCGCGGCCCGGTCTGAGACCAGGCCTCGTGGTGGCTCAGGGCCTGATCAATCAGGCTGTTACTGCTGGCCGCACGCTAACTGACGTACGAACCACAACCCGGCTGGTCAGGTACTGACTTTAGGTGCCTGTCCAGTGCCTTCTTGAAAACAGTCAGGGGTCTATTGGTAATCCCCCTTATGTATGTTGGGAGGCAATTGAACAGTCTTGGGCCCCTGACACTTATTGTGCTGTCTCTCAGTGTACTCGTGGCACCCTTGCTTTTCATTGGGGGAATGTTACATCTCCTGCCGAGTCTTCTGCTTTCATAGGGAGTGAATTTCATGTGCAAGTTTGGTACTAATCCCTCTAGGATTTTCTAAGTGTATATTAGCATGTATCTCTCGCCTGCGTTCCAAGGAATACAAATAATGGGACTTCAACCGTTCCCAGCAATTTAGGTGCCTTATCGTACTTATGTGTGCCTTGAAAGTTCTTTGTACACTCTCCAGGTCAGCAATTTCGCCTGCCTTGATGGGGGCAGTTAGTGTACAGCAGTATTCCAGCCTAGAGAGAACAAGCGATTTGAAGAGAATCATTATGGGCTTGACGTCCCTAGTTTTGAAGGTTCTCATTATCCATCCTATCATTTTCCTAGCAGATGCGGTAGATACATTGTTGTGATCTTTAAAGGCAATTTCCTCTGACATTGACACTCCCAGGTCCTTCACATTACTTTTTCGCTCTATTGTATGGTTAGAACTTGTATACCCTGATACAGTTTTAATTTCCTCCAGTTTTCCATATCTGAGTAATTGAAATTTCTCTTCATTGAACTTCATAATCTGTACAGCATTCTCAGAGGTATCCCTAACTACACTTATCTGCACATAAACCTCTTTACCTGACACTTGATGCTTTCAAGCTGTGATAAAGATATAAATGAAGCACAACCCACGAACAGCCACAGCTAACATGCAAGGAGCCGCCCGTCACCCACCCACTTCTCAGAAAGCTTCCACAGGTCTATAAGAGCGCCCCGCGCCCCCTTCACCCAGCCAGCAACACCACAAGAGAGAGAGAGAGAGTAGCCGCCCATCAAGAGAGCGGAGGTGTGCTGGGGAAAGGCTGCCGCAGGTGACACTAATTTCAAAAGCGCCAGAATAGAGTGAGAGGACCTAGTCTGGACATCCTACCAAGAAATTAAGATAATAACAACTACAAGGGTGTGTTGGCTTGTTGCTGACACGAACCAAGGAAGTGAAGAGACGATGCTAGACTAAACACTATGAAGGGGAAAACAGTGAAGGTGATCAATGCAGCGAGAGTGCTGAATAAACGCTCGCTTCTGGTTTAATTGCATTATGTCCTCACTTCACTTACCCGTATTTAAGTAACTGTAAAACAAATAAACATACAAAAGTCCATATAATAATAATAATGGGAATAAGATTAAGAATTAGAAGAACGTCTCTAAAGATACAGAAAATTTATATATATTAAAAGTAAAGAGAACCAACCATTGTTAAGTTATTGTTGCTTGATACACCTGCTGCTGTTGCCAAGGTGCTGTGGCCAACCTTCATTATGATCCCTCACAGGACTCGCTAAGTAACTTACAAATCATATGGATATATGAGATTAACACAAAGACAGAAAGAAGCACAACAGCTTCCACAGCAACAGCACTGACTGAACAAAATTTATAATCCATAGGAAGCTTGTGTTTTTACCTTTGCCGTTATCAAGTTGGTTGTTATTGAGGACATCACTGTTGGTGCTGCTGCTGGTGGAATGGTGACGCTGCGGGTAGTGATGGTAGCGGCGGTGCAACATACCATCAATACCATACTCGTCGTCTTCTTCCTCCTCCTCCAGCGTCTCTAAGCCTCCGCCAGGTTCCTCTGCTGTCCTGTGCACCCCCATGATGGGATCTCGTTGTCAGGATGGTGGTGGTGAGGAAGGACAGTCACGAGAGCTTATAGCCTGTTGCTTGTCTCCCAGGAGTTGGATGATAGTGGCGGTTATGGTGAAAAAGTCTTCCACTGAGGTAAAGTGGGGCTCAACTCGTCAGTAAATTCCCTGATAGTAGCAACAACAGCTGGGGGAACAGAGGTGGTGGTTGAGGATGTCTGGGTGGGTCATCAAACTCACACCACGAGAACACCAGACTTTGCCACCTCCTACGCTATCTCTTTCCTCTGCTCCTGTTGAGTTTCGCTATCAAGCTTGCAACCTTCACTGTCTAGGAGCCGTCTTATTTAGAAAGTTGATGCAAGTCCGTCTTTTACTAGTTTTTTAATAGTCTATTGGTAATATTAAAACCTGAGGAAAAAATAATTGTATGAAAATTGCTATACCGTTGTTAAAATTGAATTGTGATTACTGACTCGCCAAGGGTAAAATAGTGTAACCCACGCTGCACTTGTTTTAACACCTGTGCTTCAAGCACAGGTATGACACAGGTGAAGAATAAGTTCACAACACCGTGACTGGAACAATCCGCAACCAGCCCACACTATCAAGGAAACTTTAGACGACATTTCAAGGGTCAGTCTTTTTTCCCCCATTTTCTCGGCTGTGTTGATTTAGGGAATTGGATCTGTGCTCCAGTTCCCCAAATTAAGCCTGAATGCCTTCCACATCCCCCCCCCCCCCAGGCGCTGTATAATCCTCCGGGTTTAGCGCTTCCCTCTTGATTATAATAATAATAATAATTCTCGGCTGTAGCTTCAGCATAATGGTCCGAAACGGAACGAAACGTTTTTCTAAACTTTCCAAGACATGGGTTAGTTGTGAATGGCTAGTGTGCCGCAATGTGGTGGACCCAATTAAAAAGAAGACAACAGATGCAGTAAAAAAGTGTTGACACCAGCAACAATGACGCCGAACTAGGTAATGAAGCTAGCATCATCTTGACAGGTATACTCCACTCTTTAATGCGACTGAGCACTCCTTGCAAGATCATACGGCAAATGTTCACAAGATGCCATTAAGGTTGAATGTACCTGTGTAGCTGTACGTAATGCATGTGTAACTGTACGTGATGCCTGTGTAACTGTACGTGATGCGGGCCTGTATGTGATATGTTTAACTGCACGTGACTGAGGTACCATGTATATTATTGTATTCACCAAAAAATTTAGTCTCAACGCTGCATGATAGGTATTATACATAGTACGCAATGTGATATATGTACAACTGCAAGTTATCCACGTGTAACTGCAAGTGATCCAAGTGCAACTGCGTAACACGCATGTCTGTACGTAATGAGTATGTCTGTACGTAATGTGTATGCATGTACGTGGTCCATGTGTAACTGTACGTGATCCGTTGTGTGCCGCCCGCACAAGGAACTGTGCCGAGAAAGTGGGTCATCTGCGAGCAGCAGCGCCCGTCCACCGTTCCTACCAGAGCTGCCACCACCAGCACCCGGCCTTCACTTTTTCCCACCACCCACTCTTTACCTTTCAACTACCCGTATCCGCCACTCCTGCACCAAACACCCTAACTCGCCTCCTTTGTTCTTCCCCGATACTCAGTAAAGAGTAAGAAGGAATGCTTGTATTTATAGTGAGAAAGTGAGAAAGCATGCCAGCTATGTGAGGTGTGGGCCGTCAGTCGCCTTGCTGGCTGCTGCTGCCTCCCTCACCACTCTCTCTTGCATCACGCCTACACAATTATCTCACTTTTCACTATACCTCCTCCCCTCCTGTTGTTAGTGCCTCGTAGCTATCAGCCATTCCAGCTGCAATAATGGCTGCCAACTTGCAACTCGGGGTAACAAGGAAATATTTCGACACTAAGCCGTATGCTGAGCATTTGTTTTCCCCCTGGCGTGCTTCTGCAGTCAATGGACGACACTTTACATACACAGTTTACTAACCTAATCCACAAATTCACGGAACTTGAAAAAGTCCCACATCATTTTCCTCTAAGAATTAGTGCAATATTTTCCTCAAAGAAGACAGTCTATTCAGTGGTAATCTCCACTGTTTACACAGTACTGCGCATGATAATGCACATTAATATATTTCCATATAAAAATATATTTAAACGTTTTTCTTAGGCCAGAAAAGTCATGTTAGCATCAACATTCATGCCACGTCTGCACTCGCCATTTGGTGCACAGATTGGAACAGGCACTCTTCCCTCTTTCTCCTATTCGCTGGATCATTAACTGGTACCTTCTTATCATTTACTTTCAGTTCCAAACGTTATGGCCCGATATAATGCACTAACGCAGGTGGTACATTGAAGCATCCGAGACGTACGATAGGCTGTGAGAGCACGCACAAGTACCACGGAGCGATCAGCTGACTACTGACTGAAACAGCTGAGTGTCACAACACCACCACCTGATACTGCACGCAGTTGCCAACTCGCACATTTTCTCCTGGGACAAACCCGCAGTTGGCGGCTGACGATTTTAGCACCATATGTTAATGTCTTCTTTATACATATCTGTGTAGTTTCCTGCTGTAAAATTCCCACATAATCCGGGAAATATATTAAAAGATAAACCGTGTGAGCGGTGATTTGGTGTATTGATTTATCTTACATATGAGTTCTGCAGCTAAGATATTCTGTTTTTTACCTTTAAAGATTATGTTTCTTGGTGTATAGTCATGTAAATTATTATATAAGGTAAATTATGTAGTTTAATCAATTGCCCAGTCTGTTTCCCATAGTCTACCTGTCCCTGTTTGTACTCTTCTTTTCCCCACCCACCCTTTCCTCCCTCCCCCCCCCCCTCTCTCTCTCTCTCTCTCTCTCTCTTTCCAATGTAGGTTATTTATGCTGGCAAAACACTCTTGATCCAATAAAATTGCAGCTATCCTCCCCTTTAATACTACTACTACTATTACTACTGCTACTACTACTACTACTACTACTACTACTACTACTATAATAATAATAATAATAATAATAATAATAATAATAATAAAGCTCACAATATACACTTAATAACTTTATGGATTTTTGGAATATAAATAATGAGTGGAGAGGGTGATGTCAGGAGCTACTTATTGTTAAACTCAGCAAGGAGCAACGTAGTGGAGGGTGATATCAGGAGCTACTTACTGATAAACTCAGCAAGGAACAATGGCCGGTCTAGAGAGAAGGCAACAGGCCAGAAGAGTATTTGTCACCTCTTTCACATTTCCTTAACGTTTCTCCGCACGTTGACACAAACCTACTACCTTTCCACTGTCTCTCCTGCCTTGATGGTGGGGAAGGGCTCTTGATACGAAGAATTAGAGTTACGATCTCCTTCCTTATGTCAAACCTGATACCCTCCCATTCCCCAGACCCTGTGTGACCCTCACGGGTTAAGAGCTTCCCCATTAATAATAATAAGGCTTGGTTATCCTCTTGTCTCTCTAGTTAAATAATAATCAATGCAACTCACAAGAAACCAACAGAATTTTAATAAAACTGGACGGCCGAGGTTTCGGTCCTTCCCGCACCGTTAAGTCGTCCTGGATCATAATTTGTTAATGATCCAGAACTGACGAGAACGTCGTCCAATTTTCAGTTGCAATTTGTGGATTAAATTCGAATTGTTGCAGCTACGTTATTGTAATTTTTTTTCCTAAGTGTAAGTGAGCGCAGCAACGTTGTGGTTGTGTGCCTCAGTAACGAGGCTGCAGTCTTCCACCACTACTCCTGGCAACTCGTATCTTTTACATACATGTGACCGGGTTCGAGAATTTTTCCACCCTCGTAGCCCGGCCTGGGGCCAGGCTTTTCTGTTTATTGCCTGTTCAACCACGCTGTTGCTGATGGTGACCCGCTGGTCCACATTGCCATCACAGCCTGGCTGAACTGGCACTTGGCAGAGGCAGTGATCCAATTTCCTCTTGAAAACTTCTATGCTTATTCAGGCAATATTTTTTACATATGTTGTTAGCAGGTTAAATAAAACTCTTGAACCACGGATGTTGGCACCGTATGAAATGCAGGAACGCCCGTGGCATCCCTGCATTTCACACTCCTTTCTCTCACTCCAGTTTATGGTTATGTACAGATTTGGGATAAGCCCTCAAGTATCTTCCGTGCATGTATTATCAAGTATTTTTGTTTCGCTCCAGAAACTACATTCTAAGAACTCTGAGACGTATCTAGTAGTTTAAATGCTTTATTAGCAGATCGCAGCAGCCATACAGTTTCCATGACACGAGCCACCATTACGTGAGGCCAGACACTGCTCGTCTGCACGAATATCATGGTCAAATTACTCCCTCCCCCACACTTGTGCACTCCATGGTAGCACCGTCGACACACTCGCAGTTTTACTTTCACTTCGTCTGCTACGTCCTGTTAGAGAAAGTCCTCCCCCTCACCTTCCTACCATTGTCTCTCCGCCTACTGCTTACTTACATTTGCTTTGACACTGTATATAGGTCACATGAAGAGTCTCCACCTCTCCATGGAAAACAGTTATGTAAATCTTCAGATAAGTTAAGCAAAATAAATTATTTGAAATTTCGTAAAATGTAACAACTATGGGTTAGGTTGCCTGGCTGATGCTCGTGCTAAATTAAAAATGTCATATACAAATTAGGTTAATTTTAGTTAGCTGTTCTTTTTACGAAGGAGGGAACGAATTTTCAGGTTATTTGTGTCCTTCAATAGCACAGGATATATATATACACTGCCAGGTGTATATCTCTCAGTGTACATATGCTTCGAGTTTACTTTAATCCCTATTTTAAAGATTAAAGTGTAACTAACTGTTGGTGAACAGGTTACATGCAGCCTTAATGACCCTCGTGTCAATGGGCTTTAAACCCAATTAACCTACCATTTTTATTTATATAAAATATGACTAATGAACAGATGTAGGCTACCCGAAATGGAAAGCTCACGTCAAAGTCACATTTTGCTGAAATACGTGACTGTGCCTCGATGTTCCAGGTCCAGTGTGTTGTGTGCTACATTATTATTATTATAATCAAGGGGGAAGCGCTAAACCCGGAGGATTATACAGCGCCTGTGGGGGGGGATGTGGAAGGCATTCAGGCTTAATTCGGGGAACTGGAGCACAGATCCAATTCTCTAAATCAAGAGCCCCTCACCAACATCAAGGAACCTTCCTTGAGGGGTTGTGTGCTACAAACAAATTATTGTATTCACAGGTACCAGTGATTTTTTTATATACTAGATTTATCGAAGACAACCAACATCCCCAATGGAAATAAGTCACTCTGACTTTTCTGGGTTATCCTAAGGTTCTTTACACATATGCTGCTATGTATGATAATCTACGTAACTGTATTTATGTATACCTGAATAAACTTACTTACTAACCAATGACATGGTAGTATGAGTAATGTGCATGTATTTGTGAAACCGTTGTTGAGTCTGGTCACTAACTGGATGGGTGACCTCATACTTACAGCCTTGCCCTAGGCAAGGGAGACCTTGAAATGAAACGGGCTTTCTACCCCTGACCGGGAAAACATACTGTACCATCCCAAAATGACAATATCGTTAACTCATTCTAAACAAGTCTGCCACGTCAGACTGAATAGAAAACGAAGCTATCTATTAGAAAACGAGCGATGTTTGTTTCAGGGCAAACAACAGAATAAAATTAACCATCACTTGGTGAGAGGAAATTATCTGAATATAAATATCATGCAGTTAAATGTACTAAAATAATACACGTTTTACTAGGTGCATATTACGCACCACGAAAAGACGAGAGCACTGTAAATAGTTACACACATGAGTCTAGTACCACTTTTCACAACTGCCTGAAAACCTTGATGATCGCACTGCTGATGCAATGAAGGTAACTTGCATGAATGTACGTAGCTGACCTACATATTGCACACTTCCATATGCGTAGCTGACCTACTTACTGTCAACCAGTTTGTGTCTACATTTTCCTTTGTTAGACATATAGATATGATTGAACAAAACGTAAGATACTTCAGATACAATAACTGAAGCGGCTTGGTAATGTTAATTATGTAAAGCAGTTTGTGCTCCGATGTTAATTAAATCTCCACACTGCGGTGTATGTAATTTTAGTCATGAAAAACAGACGCTCCAAATTATCTGGAATCTTCATGAAATGCTTCGAAATACTGAAAAATTCGCGTAACGATTTCGAGAAAGGAAACACAAGGTTATATAAGAAAGAACACAAAGTTATGTATGAAAGAACACAAAGTTATATAAGAAAGAACACAGTTATATATGAACACAAAGTTATATAAGAAAGAACACAAGGTTATATAAGAAAGAACACAAAGTTATATAAGAACACAAGGTTATATAAGAACACAAGGTTATATAAGAAAGAACACAAAGTTATATAAGAAAGAACACAAAGTTATATAAGAAAGAACACAGTTATATAAGAAAGAACACAAAGTTATATAAGAACACAAGGTTATATAAGAACACAAGGTTATATAAGAAAGAACACAAAGTTATATAAGAAAGAACACAAAGTTATATAAGAAAAAACATGCCTGAGCTTGCTACCATCTGCAGCTCATAAGACTGTCACCCCACGAGCCCCTTTGGGGCGGGGCAGATGGCAGACCAGAGGCCTAGCTTCTCCCTACGAGCCCCGTGAGGGCGGGGAATGTGGCTAGGCCTGGGGACACTTGGTCCCAAAGATGAGGAGGTACTTGTACCTCCTCTCATGGGAGACTTAAGTCTCGAGACACTCCCCAGATAGGGAGCCAAGACCGGGTCACCACTACTTGGAAAAGACCCGGGCCGGGAGAATACCGGCGAATAAAAAAAAAAAATATAAGAAAGAACACAAAGTTATATAAGAAAGAACACAAAGTTATATAAGAAAGAACACAAAGTTATATAAGAAAGAACGCAAAGTTATATAAGAAAGAACACAAAGTTATATAAGAAAGAGCACAAAGTTATATAAGAAAGAACACAAGGTTATATAAGAAAGAACACAAAGTTATATAAGAAAGAACACAAAGTTATATAAGAAAGAACACAAAGTTATATAAGAACACAAGGTTATATAAGAACACAAGGTTATATAAGAAAGAACACAAAG